GCTCCTTCCAGCTCACCTGGACCAGGCCTGGATCCCACTTCCAACAGGTCCTCATTCCGGCTCACACCCCGATGAACCTTAAGCCGAGCCAACTCAGCCTTAAGCCTCGCCTGGTGCCGGCCCAACAGAGCCTTCCATCGGCCTCCACCACCTCGAAAGCCCTTTCCCAACAACAACTCATACACTAGCACCTGGGGATGAGGAAACAAACACGAAAACAAAAAAGCCCTAAGCATGACGCATAAATGCCTTAGAACTAACTCTAACAGAGCCCCGGCACTGGAATGGCTAAACAGATCACCTGGCAGACAAAGGTGGGGTACCTCACCCAAGATCACACCAGAAATTAACTACAGAACAGGATCAGAACCTGGCATCTTGCCTCCCAGCCTTAGACCCTTTCCCCACAGATGTTCACTAGTAGACCTCTGCACCCAACTTCTTGCCAACATTACCCTTTCGTGGGTTTGGGGTTTTAATAACTGGGGTCTAGCTCTGTAGCCCAGGCTGAAGTGCAGTGGCCAGATCATAGCTCACTGCAGCTTCGAACTCCTGGGCTCAAGTGATCCTCCCCGCTCAGCTTCCCGACTAGCTAGGACCACAGGTGCGCGCCGCCACGCCCGACTTCCTTACAGTCTCCGCCACTACTACTTTGTACTTCGGTTATTTAATTCTTCAAAACACTCTAAGTTTAAGCATTTTCATCCCATCTCAATTCGCTACCCAGGGAAGGTCTGCTCATACTCATTTCAGATGAGCGACTTGCTCCAGTCCCGCCGTGCACGGCAGCAGAGCTAAGACCAGATGACAAAGCGCACACCGTCGGGGTTCACTTCCCCGCCCCGCCCCTCCGCTCACCTTGGCCAGGTGCGGCCGCAGCTTCTTCTCCGCACGGAGGAGGCCGGCGCTGGCGATTACGGCATCCAGCACGGCGGAGTAGCGCTGCGTTTCGCACACCAGCGCGTACAGCTGCTTCACGTTCTGTAAAGCCGAGGGAGGCAGGCTGGGACCGGGGCTCCGCCGGCCCTCCTCGCCGGGCCCCACCTCCCGACCCCACCGGGGCCCGTCTCACCCCACCCCGGGTTCCTCACCCCACACCCCTACTTCTCGCGCCCGGGCCCGCTACCTGGAAGTTGCTGGAGTACACCAGCCCCTTGATGGAGCCCTGGCGGTTCTCCACGCCTGCCAGCACGCCTGCCGCGACAGCGTACAGCCCCATGTTCCCGCGCGCCTTTCCGGCTCTGTCGCAAAGCGCACCCGGCTCTGCGCACGCCCGAACTTCCGGGGTCAAAGAGCACGACCTTCCGGGACCGGAAGTTCCGGTCGAAGTCCCCCTGCAAGGAGTGTGTGTGATCGCGCACCTGCCGTGGTGGGGAGTGCGACTCTGCGAGCCCGTTTGGCCATTTCTTCTCTAGTTCTTCAGTCTTTGCCAATCTGATGGGCAAACAATGGGATTTTACTGCTGTTTAACTGCAGTTATTGAGGTTGAATATCTTCACATGTGTATTGGTCATTTTATATATATATATGTATAAATTTTTTTTGAGATAAAGAGTCTCACTCTGTCGCACAGTGTCGTGATCTCGGCTCACTGCAACGTCCGCCTCCCGGGTCCACGCCATTCTCCTGCCTCAGCTTCCCGAGTAACTGGGACTACAGGCGCCCGCCACCATGCCTGGCTAATTTTTCAATTTTTAGTAGAGACGGGGTTTCACATGTTGGCCAGGCTGGCCTCGAACTCCCGACCTTAGGTGATCTGCCCGCTTCGGCCTCCCAAAGTTCTGGGGTTACAGGCGTGAGCCCCCCACGCTGGCCGTAATTATGTGTCTGTGTGTATTGTCTTATCTTCCTCTGTCATGTGTCCTCCAATGGCTGTGTTCTCAGGGAGGCTTTTTCTGTGCAATGGCAGAGAAGGTCCTAGCAACTCCAGGTCCACAATGTTCACAATACCTGCCACTCACCCTGCACCAGTGACCACATTAGTCCCAGAGCCAAGCAAGAAAGCACATGGGGTATTTGGGTACCTGAAATGGGCCGGTTTGGTCAAATACAGTAAGTGATGTAGGTATGATCCAGGCCTCAAAGCTACAATAATAGTTTGTTTTTGTTTTTGTTTTTGATGAGGTCTCACTCTGTCACCCAGGCTGGAGTGCAGTGGCACCATCATAGCTCACTGCAGGCTTGAACTCCAGGGCTCAAGCAATCCTCCCACTTTACCCTCCAAGTAGCTGGGACTACAGGTGTGCACCACCACACCCAGCTAATTTTATCTTTTGTAGAGATGGGGGGGTCTCACCATGTTGCCTGTGGATGGTCTCGAACTCCTGGCCTCAAGCGATCTTTCCACCTTGGCTTCCCAAAGCAGTGATTACAGGCATGAGCCACTGTGCCCAACAAGGATTTTGTTCTTTTATCTTGAGAGATATGGTAGTCCTCTTAAGGATTTTAAGTCATGGAGTGCTGTGCTCACATACACTTCTTTAAAAGATCAGTCTGGCCAGGTGCAGCAGCTCACACCTGTAATTCTAGCACTTTGGGAGGCCAAGGCAGGCGGATCATTTGAGGTCAGGAGTTTGAGACCAGCCTGGCCAACATGACAAAACCCCGTCTCTACTAAAAATACAAAGATTAGCCAGGCATGGTGGCAGACATCTGTAATCTCAGCTACTCGGGAGGCTGAAGCAGGAGAATCGTTTGAACCTGGGAGGCGGAGGTTGCAGTAAGCTGAGACTGTGCCACTGCACTCCAGCCTGGGGGATACAGCGAGATTCTTTCTCCAATAAATAAGTAAATAAATACATACATACATACATAAATAATCAGTCTGGCTACAGTGTGGGGATATAGGATAGAGGGAGCAGAGTTGAGGAAGGGAGAGACCAATGGGGGTCATGGCAGTCACCTAAAGCAAGAACTGGTAGCCTGCACTGAGTTGGTAGCAGTGGAGTTAAGTTGAAGTTGGCAGTGCGACCACTAAGTTAAATCCCCAGAACTTGCTCAGGAAAAAGGACAGGTCAAGAGTAACTCATAGGTTTTTGGTTTGAGCAGTTGACACAGTGATGCTGTGTCTTTTGGTAGGATGGGGAAACCCAGAGTGGTGGAGTGGACAATGGCCACCCAGAGAGAGCAGGTCCTAATTCCTAGAGCCTGGAAATGTCACCTTCTACGGAAGAGATCTGTAGGAGTAATCAGGAGAAGGATTTGGAGAGAAGGTTATCCTGGATTATCTGGGTAGGCCCTACGTGGCATCACAAGTATCCCTACAAGAGAGAGGCAGAGAAAGGCCATGCGCAGTGGCTCACACCTGCAATCCCAGCACTTTGGGAGGCCAAGGTTGGCGGATCCCTTGAGCCCAGGAGTTCGCAACCAGCCTGGCCAACATGGTGAAACCCCATCTCTACTGAAAATACAAAAATTTGCTGGGTGTGGTGGTGCATGCCTGTAATCCCAGCTACTCAGGGGGCTGAGGCAAGGGAATTGCTTGAACCCGGGAGGCGGAAGTTGCAGTGAGCTGAGAGCGCGACATTGCACTCCAGCCTGGATGACAAGAGCAAGACTCTGTCTCAAAAAAAAAAACAAAAACAAGAGAGAAGCAGAGAAAGATTGGACTGACATATACAGAAAAGGCCGCATGAAGACAGAGGCAGAGATCGGAATGATGCAGCCACAGGCCAGGAAACACCAGGGCGTGGCAGCCACCACCTGAAGCTGAAGAGGAAAGGGGCAGGTTTTACACCACAGTCTCCAGAGGGAGCGCGGCCTTGCCATCATCGTGATCTTGGATGTCTGGCCTTCGAAACCATGAGAGATTAAATTTCTATTGTTTGAAGTCACCAAGTTTGTGGTTATTTGTTACAGTAGCCACAGGACACCACAGCCACAGGATAAATCTCAGGGATGGGGGAGTAGGAAGATCATGAGCGCAGTTTGGGACATGCCCTTGACGTCCAGGTGGAGCTGCTGAATGGCTGGAGCTCTACTGGATGTGGCATGTAAGAGACGGGTCTCCTGGAGAGGGAACTTCTGAGTCATCCCTGTGGAAGTGATGACTGGAGCCGTGGGTGTGGAGGTGTAGACAGCCGGAAGAGGAGCCTGGAGACCCTCAGACCATGAGTGGCGAGGAGGAGAGGCTGAATCCTCGAAGGAGACCAAGGAGAGGCAGGAGGAGAGTCAGGGCTGTGGGAGGCTAAGGGCTGCTGTTTGCCCCCACTAGGCTCCCTCAGGCCCTCTTCCTGGTCTGTGCACCCAGTTTGACTTCCAGTGGCCAGAGCCAGCATCTTGGTTACAGGGCTACCCTGGAGTTTCCAGAACCCACTTAGCCTGTCGTATGGTGAGTCAAAGGGGTATGGGAGGCTGGGCCCAGTGGCTCACACCTGTAATCCCAGCCCTTTGGGAGGCCAAGGTGGGAGGATTGCTTGAAGCCCAGACGAGCCTGAGTAACATAGCAAGATCCCGTCTCTACTAAAAATTTAAGTATTAGCTGGGCATGGTGGCAGACACTTGTTGTCCCAGCTACTCAGGAGGCTGAGGCAGGAGGATTGCTTGAGCCCAGGAGGTTCAAGCCCAGGCTGCAGTGAGCTACGATTGCACCACTGCTCTCCAGCCTGGGTGACAGAGCGAGATCCTGTCTCTAAAACTAAAGACTTGAGGCTGGGCATGGTGGCTCACGCCTGTAATCCCAGCACTTTGGGAGACTGAAACAGGTGGATTACCTGAGGTCAGGAGTTCGAGACCAGTCTGGCCAACACGGCGAAACCCCATCTCTACTAAAAATACAAAAATTAGTTGGGTGTGGGGTGCACACCTGTAATCCCAGCTACTCAGGAGGCTGAGGCAGGAGAATCACTTGAACCTGGGAGGTGTAGGTTGCAGTGAGCAGAGATCATGCCACTGCACTCCAGCCTGGGTGACAGAGCGAGACTCCATCTCAAAAACAAAAAAGAGACTGAAGCATAAAGCAGTATGTATGTACAGCGACTAATATTTGCAAATCATTGAAAGAGAAAGAAAGAATGTCAAATTTATTATCCTTGATAGTAGTTGAAAGTTCACAGTAATAAGGAAAAAGTATACATGGGACTATTTCTGCCCTCAGCTGGAAGCGTCTGCGCAGACAGCGTGGTTAGCAGGGACCATGGGGAGCTCTGTGTGTCCCGTGGCTGCCAAGGCCTGGGGGCCGACGTTTACAAATACACCCCTGGCTGATGGCAAAGGGAATGGGGTCCTGCTCCCTATCATTACATGTTCCAGGGACACACAGGCCTGAAGACCTTCCTAAACAGTGAAGATATCACCTTGGGACCCAACAGAAGCTCGTGAGTCCCTGGTGCCCTGTGGGGATGGGCCTGTGGGCCGGCAGGACCCTGGGTGGCCCTACAGCTTGGTGGGCTGCTCAGGGCTGAGGTGGCCAGGCCCACTGGGAGGGGACAGCACCATGGGCAGCGAGTTGCTGCCCCTCTCGTGCCAGCAGGTGTCCAGGATGGGGTAGAGCTTGCCCTGGAAGTCGGCCTGGAAGGTGTAGAGCGGCCGCAGGTCATCGGGGCGGTCAGCGTCGAAGAAGGTGAGCTCGCCCTGCTCGTAGTGCAGGTAGAGCCCAATGCGGTGGGGGTGGCCGGCCACGGGCAGGGGCACCCGGGGGCAGGCAAAGGCTTCGTACACCCGCCCCTCCTTCAGGCCGATCAGCCACACACCATGCTCGGGGGACCTGTTCAGCTTGCCCTTCCGGCTGGCTGTGCCCTTGATGACCCCCAGGCGCCAGTCGCTCTTGCTGCCCACCACCACCTCCCAGTAGTGGCGGCCGCAGGAGAAGCCGCGGCTGGCCAGGACGCAGGTGCTGTAGTCGAAGCGCTCAGGCTGGCTGGCACGCCGCTGGGCCAGGAGCCCACACTGCACCACCGTGTTGCCCTTGGAGAGCTCCAGGAGTGGGTGGGCAGTGGCAGGGTCCAGCTTGAGAGGCTCTGGGGCTGGGAGGGAGATCACAGAGGGCCTGTGAGGCAACGTGGAGGGCAGCAGACCCCGCCCACAGAGGCTGACGGAGGCCCTGAGCTCCCCAAGGAGAGGGGCTGTGTCTTCCTCATTTCTCTATCCCCAGGACCTAGAAGGGGCTGGTACAGGGCTGCTCCCTGAATGAATGAATGAATGAATGAATGAATGAATGAATGTTTACATAAGGAAGATCAATCACAGACTGATTGCATCCACCAAAGGCAAAAACACGGTTTATATAAAAGGGAGTGGCTTGGTGGGCTGTCGGGGGCTGAGGTGGCCGGAGAAAGAAATGGACACTGGGCTCAGGGATTCTGGCCCGCCTGCCTGAGGCAGAGGTGCTGGGGGAAGGACCCAGAAGACACCTGTCCCATGGGCTTACAGCTCAGCCCTCAGGGTTTTCCGGAGAACCCACAACAACTGCAGCTGTTGGATTTGCTAGCCTAGTCAGCCTATTCAAGGACAAACTAGCCCACCTGAGCTTTCTGCTAGCTACCAGCTGATCTGTTTACCCCAGAAACATGAAATGTGCTCCCCCGCCCCCCCACCCTCCCCACCCCTTTCCTGCCGCCCAAGATGCCGCAAGGAAAGAAGGCCAAGGGGGAGAAGGTGGCTCTGGCCCCTGCTGGCGTGAAGAAGCAGGAGGCCAAGAAAGTGGTGAATCCCCTGTTTGAGAAAAGGCCTAAGACTTTTGGCCCTGGACAGGACTTCTAGGCCAAAAGGGACCTCGCCCGCTTTGTGCAATGGCCCGCTCAGTCAGGGTGCGGGGGCAGACAGCCATCCTCTATAAGTGGCTGAAAGTGCCTCCCACTATTAACCAGTTCACCCGGGTCCTGGACCGCCAAACAGCTATCCAGCTGCTTAAGCTGGCCCACAAGTACAGACCAGAGGCAAAGCAAGACAAGAAGCAGAGGCTGTCGGTCCTGACTGAGAAGAAAGCTGCCGGCAAAGGGGACGTCCCCCACTAAGAGGCCACCTGTCCTTGGAGCAGGAATTAACACCGTCATCACCTTGGTAGAGAACAAGAAGGCTCAGCTGGGCCAGGCACAGTGGTTCACACCTGTAATCCCAGCACTTTGGGAGGCCAAGGTGGGCGGATCACTTGAGGCCAGGAGTTTGCAAGCAGCCTGGCCAACATAATGAAACTCCATCTCTACTAAAATACGAAAATTAGCCGGGCGTGGTGGCATGCGTCTGTAGTCCCAGCTACTTAGGAGGCTGAGGCAGGAGAATTCCTTGTACCTGGGAGCCGGAGGTTGCAGTGAGCTGAGATCACACCACTGCATTCCAACCTGGGCGACAGAGAGAGACTCTGTCTCAAAAAAAAAAAAAAGGCTCAGCTGGTGGTGACTCCACACAGCCTGGGTCCCATCAAGCTGGCTGTCTTCCTGCCTGTGCCTTTGTTGTACAATGGAGTCCCCGACTGCATCACCAAGGGGAAGGCAAGACTGGGACGTCTAGTCCGCAGGAAGACCCGCACCACCGATAATGTAGAGAGTAGTAGTAGATGTTGAGGGTTTTGGAGGTTCTTTAGTGAAGAGTTTTATCGCCTTCACACAGGTGAACTTGGAAGACAAAGGAGCTTTGACTAAGCTGGTGGAAGCTGTCAGGACCAATGACAACGAAGGTGATGAGATCTGCCGTCACTAGGGAGGCAGTGTCCTGGGTCCCAAGTCTGTGGCTTACATTGCCAAACTCGAAAAGACAAAGGCTAAAGAACCTACCACTAAACTGGGTAAAGTGTACACTGCTGAGTTAAATGTACGAACAGGATTCACAGTTCACAAACTGCAATTTCTTTCCTCCTTTCCTTTCCTTTTTTTTTTCTTCATTCTTTTCTTTCTTACTGATGAGGTCTCCTCTGTCACCCAGGCTGGAGTGCAGTGGTGTGATCATAGCTCACTGCAGCCTCCCAACTGCTGGGCTCAAGCGATCCTCCTGCCTCAGCCTCCTCAGGAGCTGGGCCCACAGGCACATGATACCACACCCCACTAATTATTTTTTGTAGAGATGGCATCTCACTATTTGCCCAGGCTGGTTTCAAACACCTGGCCTCAAGTAGTCCTCCCACCTTGGCCTCCCAAAGTGCTGGGATTGCAGGCATGAGCCACCGCGCCCAGCCCCTTCTTTTATACAAACCCTATTTTTGCTTTTGGTGGATGAAATCACTCTGTTAGCAATCTCCCTTATGTACAAAACAGCATCCTAATAATAAAGGAATGAAATGTGTTTGAGTTGTTTTCGACAGAGAGCAAGAACTAATAGGTTGGTTCAAAAGTAGCTGCGGTTTTTGCCATTACTTTTAAGGCCACTTGTCCTTCGAGTAGGAAAGACATTTTTTAAAAGGACATCACTTTTTGTTTTTTTTTTTTTGAGATGGAGTTTTGCTCTTGTTGCCCAGGCTGGAGTGTAATGGCACCATCTCAACTCACTGCAACCTCCGCCTCTCTGGTTCAAGTGATTCTCCTGCCTCAGGCTCCCAAGTAGATGGGATTACAGGTGCATGCCACCATGCCCGACTAATTCTTGTATTATTAGTAGAGACAGGGTTTTACCATGTTGGCCAGGCTGGACTCGAACTCCTGACCTCAGAAGATCTGCCCTCCTCGGCCTCCCAAAGTGCTGGGATTACAGGTATGAGCCACTGTGCCCAGCCAAAAAGTACATTACTTTTAAAAGTAATGGCAAAAATCGCAATTACTTTTGTACCAACCTAATACCATTTATGAAGCACTAAACTGCAACACACGTATGTCTACATACAAACTCTGCAGCCTGGCTGAGTGGATGCTAATAGCCCCACTTTACAGATGAGGAACCTGGGGCTCGGAAATGACACAACTTGCCCAGCCACCAGCTAGGAAGGGATGAAGTGAGCATGAACCCAAGCTGTTCAGAAACTCAGTCCCATGTTCTCACCAGGACCCTCCGCAAACCTCCGTCTGAGTTCTCTGTAGCTTATTCTCTGATACAATCAATGAACTGCTACCTGCCCTGGGCGGCAGCCCTCAGGAAGGAGGACGGGTCAGGGCCTCACCTGGCAGAACTTTCTGGAAGAGCCTTTTCCATACGGTCAGCTTGATGTCAGCCTGGTGGAGGCCTGGCTTGAAGGAGATGGGGCTGAATGCGCCTTCCAAGGTCCGCGCCTGCGGCAGCTCTGCTCTGCAGGTGACAGTACACAGTACAAGAGAGCAATGTATCATGTGGCCCGCCCCATCCCTCCATCCTATCTACGTCTGCCCAGCCAGATCCACAGCGCAGGACTGCAGTCACAATGCTCATCAATGCCCATCGTCCCCTCCTCTGCACAGCCCTTCAGAGAGGACCCATCTCCTTCTGAGAAGGGGAAACGCTCTATAGCGTGCTTCTCAGAGTGTAGGTTTGGGGACCAGCAGTGTTGGCTGGAAAATGGTCCAACCTGTTCCCAGTGGAAAGCCAATGGTCCACCTGGGAAATGGTCAGAAATGCAGGTTCTTAGACCCCATACCAGACCTGCCAATCAGAAACCAATTATGGGGGCCAAGTAATGTGTCTTTTTTTTTTTTTGAGTCAGAGTGTCACTCTGTCACCCAGGCTGGAGTGCAGTGGCGTGATTTCGACTCAGTGCAGCCTCAACCTCCTGGGTTCAAGTGATCCTCCCACCTCAGCCTACCTAGCAACTGGAACTATAGGCATGCGCCACCATGCCCAGCTAATTTTTTTTTTCTATTTTTGGTAGAGACGGTTTTGCCACGTTGCCCAGACTGGTCTTGAGCTCCTGAGCTCAAGCAATCTACCCACCTCGGCCTCCCAAAGTGCTAGGATTACAGGCATGAGCCACCACGCCCGGACTTTTTTTTTTTTTTTTTTTTTTTTTTTTTTTTTGAGATGGACTCTCACTCTGTCGCCCAGGCTGAAGTGCAGTGGCGTGATCTCAGCTCACTGCAACCTCCGCCTCCCGGGTTCAAGTGATTCCCGTGCCTTAGCCTCCCGAGTAGCTGGGATTACAGGCGTGCACCACCACACCCAGGTAATTTTTTGTGTTTTTAGTAGCTGCCCACCGTGGCCTCCCAAAGTGCTGGGATTACAGGCATAAGCCACCTTGCCCAGCCTCTGTCCCTTCATTTAAACCCATGTCCCCTGACCAAATTGTCTCTAAGACTAAAATAAATGTGAGAAACAAGGAGTCTCCCATAAACAGGGAGCGAGGAAGGCTTGGGAATGGCACGTGTTCATTTGTTGGGTCTAGAACATTGGTCCACTCTCTTCCCACAATCTGCAGAGCAAGTTTCAGGCAGGGCTGATACTGCCTGCTGCACAAGGGTGAGGAGGGCAAGCAAGGGATGGCCAGCACTCCTGGATGTTGCTTCTGGCCATTTCCCACCTCTCCCAGCTCCCAGTCCTCCTGATATCCTGCCTTACCCCCAGCCACCCTGAAGTTCTCATAACCAGAGTCCACACACCACTCCCCCTTTTACAGGACCGTTCCCTTGGCTTGCCTGGCAAACTCGGGTCCTGGACCCTTCCCAGCCATCAGGCCTGTGCCCCTCTGCCAGGCCCCCCAGACACCTGCTCCTCCTCTAGTGTTTTGTTTTGTTTTCTGAGACAGGGTCTCACTCTGTCACCCAGGATGGATCATGCAGTAGGATGATCGCGACTCACTGCAGCATCACACTTTTGGGCTCAAGCAATCTTCCCACCTCAGCCTCATGAGTAGTGGTGACTATAGGCGCATGCCACCAGGCCCAGCTAATTTTTTCTATTTTTGTATTTTTTGTAGCGATGGGGTCTTACTATGTTGACCAGGCTAGTCTCGAATTCCTGGTCTCCAGGAGTCCTCCTGCCTTGGCCTCCCAAAGTGCTGGGATTGCAGGCATGAGCTACCCTCCTCTAGTATTTCTGTAGCTTGAGTGAACTTCTGCTGTTCTAGGTACCCACAGTTCACCATCTGCCTCCCCACTCGTCTACGAGACCCTTGAAGGTAGGGACGTCTTTCCTCTGTTTTCCCCAGGCTCAGTTATAGAGTCAGCTGTGGGCAACTGCTTGGGAGGCGCTGGTTAAGCCGAATGGAGGAACCAGTGGAGCTGAGATGCCTGTGCCTGCAGCCACCAGACCCTGGCTGAGCTCTCTCCAAGGTTATTACCTGGAGGCCATGGAGTGGAACTTCTGGAAGGCAAGAGAGAGGGAGGTTAAGGCTAGAAGGTGCGAAGCCAGGGCACTGTTGGGAAGGGGAAGGCCCTGGCGGGTATGGGGACGGGACACCCCCCGTCCACTCACCCGGATGAACTCGTGGTGGCCCTCATTGCCGAACTCTTCCAGCACACACTCGGCTTGGGCCAGCCGCTCCCGGGTTCCCTGGGCCTGCTCCAGCTGCATGTCCAGGGAGGCCACCAGGCCACGGGTGTGACCCCCTATCCCCTCCAGGCAGCGGGCCTTCTCCTCGTCCACCAAGTGGTGCAGCTCCTGGAACTCACGGCGGATCACCCAGCTGAAGACATCCGACTCATTCTGGGACAGGGAGGGCTGGTCACTGCAGAGTCACAGCCAAGCTGCCAGGCTCTGGCTGGCTGGCCTCAGGGTCCCCAGGGCCTTCCTGACTGGGCTGGTCCTGGGACCTGGGTTCCAGGGGAGGCTGCATGTCCTGACGCCGAGCAGGGAGTTCACCCCATGCTTGGGGAGCCCTGGAGGTGGCCATGGGGAGGGTGACCCCAGCTCCCATTTCAAATGGAGTGGCTCTGCTTTGGCATGTTTTAATTTTTTTGAGACAGGGTCTCACTCTGTTGCCCAGGCTGGAGTGTAGCGGCATGATCATAGCTCACTGTAGCCTTGACCTCCCAGCCTCAAGCAATCCTCCCGCCTCAGCCTTCCGAGTTGCTGGGATTACAGATGCATGCCACCACACCCCACTTTGCCTATGTCAGCTATTAAATGTGCATGTAAGATTTTGTTTTATCACAGAGTTCCACACCTGAAGGAAAGCAGGAAGGCCCTGGGCGAGCAGGCTTTGCTGTGAGGGAGCCAGAACTCCCTGCAGAACCCTGAGCTCTGCCTCCACCAGGCAGGGCTGATACCGCCCGCTGCGCAAGGGTGAGGAGGGTAAATGAGGGATGTCCAGTGCTCCTGGATCTTGCTCGGCTCCTGTTTCTGTTTCACAGCCACCTCCAGGGCCGGGGCTCCACACCTCCCGGCCCCATGTGCCTCTCATTTCAGGAGATCTGCCAGGGCCCAGGACTGCCAGCCTCTCCATGCCTGTGCACCCAGGTACTGGGAGGGCACCATGACAGGCTGGCAAGGTCAAGCAGACACAGGTGGCACAGGGGCGGAGGAGTCACGCCCATGCTTTGAGCTGTTTACCCCCTGGGACTCAAGTCCTGGGTTATCTCAGTCTCAAGGACACAGAGGGCAAAAGCCAACCTGGAGCCAGTCCTGACAACAACTGGGTTGAATTCCCTGAGAGGATTTGCACTTTCCCCACCCTGCCCCGGAATGCTTTGAGTTCTGACTTTATATGGAAGGCCTGGTTTTCTGGAAAGGACCAATGAGAACTGAGCTCTACAGGAAAGTGAAGGTGGCCGGTCCCAGGCAGGGGGCAGAGGGAAGGGCACTCACGACGATTCGGGTCCGGTTGTTCACCAGTTTGGCGATGAGCTCATCCACCTTCTTCTGCTCCTGCTTCAGCTCAGAGATGAGGGCTGCGAGCTCCTCCTGGAGGCAACAGGCCATGGCCCCATGAGCAGCTGATGTCTCCTCCTCTCAGCTCCTTGGGTCACCTTCTTGGGAGTATCCCAATGGCCACAAGCACTCCCAGGGAAACCAGGGTGGGAACCAGAGCCACCCAGGTATCCTTCAGTCCAGAACAGGTTAAATTGTTCAAGAATAGTCCAGGCACAGTATCTCATGCCTGTAATTCCAGCACTTTGGGAGACTGAGACAGGACTTCACTTGAGGTCAGGAGTTTGAGACCAGCCTGGCCAACATGGTGAAACCCCATTTCTATTAAAAATACAAAAATTAGCCAGGTGTGGTGGTGCACACCTGTGGTCCCAGCTGCTTGGGAGGCTGAGGCACGAGAATCACTTGAACCTGGGAAGCGGAAGTTGCAGTGAGCCGACACCATGCCACTGCACTCCAGCCTGGGTGACACAGTGAGACTCTGTCTCAAAAAAATAAATAGATAAATAAAATAAGATAAAATAATTCAAGCATATTCTAGTCTGGGCACAGTGGCTCATGCCTGTAATCCCAGCACTTTAGGAGGCCAAGATGGGAGGATCACTTGAGGTTAGGCGTTTGAGACCAGCCTGGGCAACACAGTGAGATCCCATCTCTAAATTTTTTTTTTTAAGAATATTCTGCATTGACAGCAGGAACTTCCCAGGCATAAGAGGGTCTCAGTGTCACCCCTCTGCATGACATGGAGAGAGTCACTAAATGTTACAGCTACCAGAAGTCTCCATTGGATGCTGGCACTTCCTGGATTGAATGCTGCCTGTAGGGGACCCACCAGATGGACTCTGTGGTCACCAGCAGATCCTGAATTAGTGGGTACTTAATCAGGAGCCATCACCAAAAGGTCGGCGCCAGGTGAGGCTAATTCTAGGGCCAGTGCTGCTTACCCAGGCCTGGGTTAAACCTGGTGAATCCCCACGCCTATAAACACGTGAATCCATTCCTGGTGGACTTGGACACAGCATGGATTTGCGACCTCCCCAGGCTGACATAAATGCACTTCTCCTGGACTGCCCTGGCCCCAAATCTGGCCTAGCTTTGGGGATGCCAACCGGGACTCCTGGACCACCAGCTACTCCATGACTTGACCACAGCCCCCGTCGGTTTGTACACACGCAGTGTACGGAATCTTTGGCTTGGATCGTGCCCAAGCACCGGAGAGCTGCAAGGGGCTTTCAGGAAGGGAGTTGGGTAAAGAACAAAGCACTTGCTGGCATAAATGGACAGAGTCCTTGCTCTGGAGAATGAGGCTTCAGAACATCTCACGGCGGCCCCAGAAGGGCATTCCAATGCCACCCTCCCCAGGCAGACGGACGGGACTCATTCCTTCCCAGTGACAGGAACTAAGTTATGCAAATCAATGCACCCATCAATTGAGCATCTCAAGATCTCAATAAACAGGAGGCAACAGGAACACCCAAAAGAGGGCAATAAATGAGTGCAATTTAGTTACATTCTGTGTTGCAGCAGAGAAGAGCCTTGGGATCATCAAAACCCAAATCTGGCTGCGTGCAGTGGCTCACGCCTGGAATCCCAACACTTTGGGAGGCCAAGGCAGGGGGATCACTTGAGGCCAGGAGTTTGAGTCCAGCCTGGACAAAATAGTGAGACCCTGTCTCTCCAAAAAAAAAAAAAAAATTAAGCCCAAATCTAAAACAGGGACCCAAGCTGGGCCCCTGGATCCTAACCACAAAGGACAGACAAGCTCCCAGCCTGTTTCCCTCCCTCCTTCCCATCAACTAATAAAACATAAACTCAGCTTCCTCACCTGCAGTTGGCTTCCACCTTCCGTACTCCCCTAAACCTGCTCTTATCAAGATAATCAGTTCTTACTGCTACATCTAACACTTTTCAGTCCTCAGAGACATTTCACACAAGTGATCTCCTCCTTCAGTGCTCCCTCTGATTTCCGGGAGGCCACACTCAGCCGGTGTTCCCGCTCTGAGGATTCTTTCTATCCCTTTTTCAGGGCTCTCTCTCGCTCAATCCAGATTTTAAGCCTGGTACCCCTTGGGGTCATCATCAGTGTCTTCCCTTATCACTATGTAGACTCTCCTGGATTGGTCTTCTCCATCAAAGGGGACTTCAGTGACCACCAGGAGGAAGGACCCTCCACACCCCTTGCCCTGAGCCGCATTGCTGTCCTGGTCTACACGCCCCCCAACCCGACTGCACATCCCCAGGCACCTCCTGCTCCACCTGCCCATGACAAATCGTTCTCTGCGAGCACTTCATCTGTGTAAGGGGAAATTACAGCACTGGAGTCAGCCTCCCCGTCCCTCACCCTCCTTGCCACACACAGGTGTCAGGGTTTTCTTCTTTTCGAGATTTGTCTTTGGTCTGCCCCAGGCCTTTGTCCCAGTTCCCACCGACTTAGGTCCTGGCACCCTCATCTCTCGCTGTCCTTCTGCCTCACCCTCAAAGCTCCCCTCTGCCAGAGGGATCTGAGCACATCACCACCGGCTTCAAACCCTCCAGCCCCCGCCTTACTCCCTCATCCTGTGAATAAACTCCAAATCCCTTCCTGGGTCACACTGGCCTCTCCAGACCCCGGCCGCAGCTTACCTCGCTGGCCCTATCTCGCCCCCACCCATGCTCCCTCCAGCTTTATGCTGGGATTACAGGAGTGGCCACTGTGCCCGCCCAACCAGGCTAATTTTGAAATTTTTGTAGAGACAGGGTCTCACTATGTTGCCCAGGCTGGTCTCAAACTCCTGGACTCAAGTGATCCACCCACCTGGGCCTCCCAAAGTGCTGTTATTATAGGCATAAGCCACCCAGCCACGTGTTTTATAACAGGTGGTTTATATATATAACACTCAGCCAGGTATTACTATTACTCATCTTAAAGAATGATCTGCTAGGTTTGGTGATGGCCTACAAAGGCAGGAATTCACTGATTCAGCATTTTGGACATTTACAGTGTGCCAGGTATGGCTCCAGGCACTGAAATACACCAGGGGACAAAATGAAGTCCCCATCCTCATGCACTAGAGAGTGCAAACAGGGGAGTGTCCAGAAACAAAGAGCCTAGGGCAGTGGCACATGCCTGTAATTCCAGCACTTTGGGAGGCCCAGGCAGGATTGTTGGAGGCCAAGGAGTTCAACACCAGCCTGGGCAACATAACAAGACCCCATTTCTACAAAACATAAAAAAAAAAATGAGCTGGGCATGGTGGTGTGCACCTGTAGTCCCAGCTACTCAGGAGGCTGAGGTGGGAGGATTGCTTGAGACTAGGCCTTGGAGGCTGCAGGGAGCCATGATCATACCACCGCACTCCAGCCTGGGCAACAGAGTGAGACGCTATCTCCAAAAAGAAAGAAGAAAAAGAAAGGAGAGAGAGAGGGGGGAAGAGAGAGAGAGAGGAAGAGTGGGGAGAGAGGGGGGACACGGGAGGGGGGGAGAGAGAGAGAGAGAGAGAGAGAGAGAGAGAGAAGAGAGAGAGAGAGAGAGAGAGAGAGAGAGAGAGAGAGAGAGAGAGAGAATAAAAAGAAAAACAACCAGAACGGCAAATAAAAAAAGAGAGCCCCATCCTGCGCATGTGGCTTCAATCCTCGGCACCTGGGTTGAGCTGCCGCTCAAATGCTAAGGAATGAATGCGCCAGGGCAGGGCTGGAGGGAAATCGAGGATAGCTGGATGCTTTTGGTGCCAGGTGATGGCGCCAGAGAGCATAAGATCCGGTCCCCGCGGGCCCCGCCAGCCCCGCTGCACCGTGGCTCCCCACCTTCATGCGGCTGTAGACGGTGGAGACGGGTGTGACCGGGTGGTGCTGGTGGGATCCCAGCAAACCGCAGAGGCCACAGATGAGCTCCTGGTCCTTCTCGCAGAAGAGGCTGAGCGGGTTCCGGTGGTGCACGCAGACCTTGGGCTCCGGGTCCCCAGGGAGCCTCAGGGCTTCGATCACCCGAGCCAGGGAGACGTTGGGCGGCGGGGAGCTGCTGCCGTCCACCGTCTGCCGGCACACGGGGCAGCGCAGCTCCGCGTCCAGGTGGCAAGACAGGGAGAGCAGGCAGCCCCTGCAGTAGGAGTGGCCGCACCGCAGCATCAGGGGCTCCTTGAAGACCTCCAGGCAGATCGGACACTGAAGCCGGTCCTCCAGCTCCGGCAGGCTCACCTGCCAAGCCATCCACACTCACTGCCCGGGATGAAACACAAGCATCTGTCCTCAGTCCTGTCCTCTCCCCTCCCTCTGTCCAGCACTCACCCACCACCCTCAACCCTAAGGAGCACCAGACTTTTAGAGGAAACACTTTCAGTCCTGGATCCCAGTCCTAACCCACATGACCTTGGGCCCCAGTTTCCCCAGCTGTAAAACAAAAGACTGCAATGAAAAAACTGGTCCCTTGAAGATACGTGTGTGTGTGTGTGTGTGTGTATGTGTGTTTACATTTTTTACTCAAATTTAGAGACAAGCATGAAAGGGGCCATCTGCAGGGTCATTTGCAATGACACTAATAATGCAAGGTCCAGCTCCAGCAGGCATCTGGACCTAGAACTGGACAACAAAACCCAGGCAAGCTCTCCACCTTCTAGATGAGTTCCCAAACTTTCGAGAAACTGTTGAAAGCATAGGTGTAATAGATCTAGAGGCCCACCTTCAAAAGTGCTTCAGGGGGTCTCCAGTGAGACCCAGAACTCTACATTTACAGGTGACACTCCCAGGTAATTGTAGAGAGCCTGGAACCTACAAGGCCTCTACCCTGATCTCCCACCTGCTCCCCTACTAAAGCTTGTCAGTGAGGCAGGAAGAGCACCAGCAGCCCCCAGGGAGAGCCCAACATTGGAATACCTGGCTTCTCACGATCCGCTGGGCCTCCCACTACGGCCTCAAGCCAGCATCACTCATCCAATGGATCAAGAGATTGCTCAGCCTTTTCTTCTTCCCAGCAGGGAAACAGCAGGCACAGAGACAGAAGTGGGGAGTGCAGCTGGACGCCTGCACCACTGCCTGGTCTCTGCCCCTTCTCCCCTCCCCTTTCCCAGCGACACTCCTGTGTCCCCAAGGTCACCAGAATCAGGTGGAAACTGGGTTACATCACGGGACTGGGGAGGCAGCCTTTGTTGGGCCTGCTCTGATAACATTCAGGTGCTGGCCTTGGCCACTGTGGGGGAGGGGAAGAAACAGAGGGACTGGGCACACCGTCCACACCTCATGACCCGGACAGGAGCAGAGAGGTGCTGGGAAACAGTTCTTTCTGAATCTCAAACTCTTGCTCTTACTCTCCTTTTTTGCGGGGAGGGGCTTGCGGGGCGGGGGAAGACAGCATCTTGCTCTGTTGCCCAGGCTGGAGTGCAGTGGCGTAGTCACAGCTCACTGCAGCCTCCAACTCCTAGGCTCAAGCCATCCTCCCACCTCAGCTGCCTGAGTAGCTGAGACTGCAGGCGCATGCCACCATGCCAAGCTAATTTTTTTTAAAAATGTTGTAGGTACTGGGTCTTGCTTTGTTGCCCAGGCTGGTTTTCAGCTTCTGGGCTCAAGCAATCCTCCCTCCTTGGCCTCCCAAAGTGCTGGGATTACAGGCATGAGCCTTACTGCACCTAGCCTTCCCTCTCTCTCTCTTTTTTTCTAATACAAACTGGCAGATGATGATTCGATCTCTCTATTTAATTTTTAAATGTTATTGTTTTATTTATTTTAGTAGAGACAGGGGTCTTGCTTTGTTGCCTGGGCTGGTTTTGAACTCCTGGCCTCAAGCAATCCTCCCGCCTCAGCCTCCCAAAGTGCTGGGATTACAGGTATGAGCCACCAAGCCTGGCCTCTTTTTTTTTTTTTTTTTTTTTTTTGAGATGGAATCTTGCTCTGTCACCCAGGCTGGAGTGTAGCGGCGCAATCTCGGCTCACTGCAACTCCGCCTCCTGGGTTCATGCCATTCTCCTGCCTCAGCCTCCCCAGCAGCTGGGACTACAGGTGCACACCGCCACACCCGGCTAATTTTTGTATTTTTAGTAAAGACAGGGTTTCACCATGTTAGCCAGGATGGTCTCGATCTCCTGACCTTGTGATCCGCCCACCTCAGCCTCCCAAAGTGCTGGGATTACAGGCGTGAGCCACTGCGCCCGGCCACTTAGATTTTTTAAATTGAGGTATAACATATACAAGTGTGCAAATCTTAACCACACAGCTTGATAAACACTTGATGTTTATCCTCCCACCTCAGCCTCTCGAAATGCTGGGATTACAGGTGTGAGCCACCGAGCCTGGCCTCTTTTTTTTTTTTTTAAAGAGATTTGAAGGTACCTTTTCTAAGATTTTTTAAATCAAGGTATAACATATACAAGTGTGCAAATCTTAACCACACAGCTTGATAAACACCTGCTGTATGTGCACACACACTCAAGAGCAAGATGTAGTGTTTCCAGAAAGCTCCCTCCTGACTCCTCCCAGTCATAACTCCTAACAAGGACAGCCACTGTTCTTATTACCATGCTGTCATGTGGCCTGTTTTTGAATTTCACATAAACAGCATCATATAGAATGTACTCTTTTGTGTCTGGTTTCTTTCACTCAATAATATTGAATTGTGAGCTTTTTTTTTTTTTTAATGTGAAGTCTTTCAACGTTTAGAAATTCAATGACACTCTGCTACACACGTTTTGTTTGTTTTTTGAGACAGTTTCACTCTTGTTGCCCAGGCTGGAGCACAGTGGTGTGATCTCCGCTCATTGCAACCTCCACCTCCCGGGTTCAAGTGATTCTCCTGCCTCAGCCTCCCAAGTAGCTGGGGTTACAAGCGCCCGCCACCACGCCCAGTTAATTTTCTGTATTTTCAGTAGAGATGGGGTTTCATCATGTGGGCCAGGCTGGTCTCAAACTCCTGACCTCGAGTGATCCACCTGCTTTGGCCTCCCAAAGTGCTGGGATTACAGGCGTGAGCCACCACACCTGGCCTGTTACACAGTTAATGAATATTATGGTCATAATATACTGCTGTGGTTTGAATGTATCCTCCTAATTTCATGTGTTGGAAACTTAACTCCCAATTGGGGCAGTATTGAAAGCTGGCTACAGCCTATGCCTATAACCCCAGCACTTTGCGAGGCCAAGATGGGAGGATCACTTGAAGTCGGGAGTTCAAGACCAGCCTAGGCAACAAAGCTACAAACCATCTTTCCAGCAAGTTAAAAACTAAAGAATAAATTAGCTGGGCCTAGTGGTGCACATCTGTAATCCCAGCTACTGGGGATGCTGAGGCAGAAGGATCTCTTGAGCCCAGGAGGTGGGGGCTGCAGTGAGCTGAGATCCATCACTGAACTCCAGCCTGGGCTCAGAGCCAGCCTCTGTCGATCAATCAATCAATTAGTCAATCAGTGTCTCCTCTGGGCCTAAATTTCTCTAGAACACAATGGAAGAAGGAAAGTGGAAGAAGGTGGATGTAACCCACAGCTGGAAGCCCTGAACTCTGCTGGTGGCAGATGGCTCTCATGTCCTCACCAGGTTGCCCTGCAATCACATGCTGCATCCTTTTTCCTGAACCTGCCCCACGTGCCCCACCACGCAGCCACTCCGAGGGTTCCTTCAAGGGCGGCAGCCCTGTCACGTGTTCCAAAAGTGCTCCCCTGTGTCCTGACAGCCTCGCCATGTGTCCCATCATGCCCCACACGCTCCCACTGTGTGCCCCACCTCGCACCCATGCCCCATCATATTCTGCGTGCTCGTTAGGTGCCCCAATATTCCCCGCGCGCTCCCATTACGTACCCAGCCTCACACCCCTGCAAGTTCCCCATCATGCTTTCTGTCGCTCCAGTTAGGTGCCCCATCATGCCCCACGCGCTCCAATTACGTGCCCCACCTAACCGCCCCACGTCCGTGCCCCATCATGCCCCGCACGCTCCGGTTACAGGCCCCGCCTCGCGCTCCCTCACGTGCCCCATCATGCTCTGCGCGCTCCCATTATATGCCACCACCTCACGCCCCTGCACGTGCCCAACGTGCCCTGCGTGGTCGCGTTCCGTATCCCATCACGTTTCGTGCGCTCCTATTACCGGCTGCACCTCGCACCTCACGGCGCGGCCTATGTAGTTTCAGAGCTCGCGAGAGCCAGGGCCGTTGGCGACAGTTGGAACGAAATGACGAGTGCCTTCTCGTGGCCCCAGAATGGAATGCCGCCATCGGTAGGGTCTGCCGGGTATAAAGGGGCCTTCGGAACCCCACCAAAGTCACAGCTAGGGAGGGCAGCGGGGCGCACCAGGCTGAAGGCTCACGCCACAGGGAGGGCAGAAAGGACATGGGGGGAAGCGCCTTAAACCAGGGAGTCCTGGAAGGGGACGACGCCCCCGGCCAGGTGAGGGCCCAGACGTTTCGGGGCGTCGATGACGAGGGGTGGCCGGGTGGGTCTGAGGCTCTGAGGCCTGGCTTTCATTCTCCACCAGTCCCTGTACGAGCGGTTAAGTCAGAGGATGTTGGACATCTCGGGGGACCGGGGCGTGCTGAAGGATGTCATCCGAGAAGGAGCTGGAGACCTGGTGGCGCCTGATGCTTCGGTGCTAGGTGTGCCCTGGGGCGGTTTGTCCGCAGGATCCATGTCATCGCACTCTATGTTGGGGAAAGAGAGGACACATTTTCAAAAAGCATTTAATGGGGTTGGAAATGCTGTGTTTGAAGTGGACTTTTGTTTTTGAAATGGGGTCTCGCTGAATTGCCCAGGCTGGAGTGCCGTGGTGCAATCATAGCTTACTGCAGTCTCCACCTCCTGGGCTCCAGTGATTCTCCAGCCTCAGCTTCCAAATAAGGGATTTACAGACGCGATCCACCATGCTCGGCTAATTTTTAATATTTTTGTAGAGATGGGGGACTCTGTATGTTGCCCAGGCTGGTCTCAGACTCCTGGACCCAAGTGATCCTCCCACTTCAGCCTCCCCAGTAGCAGGGATTACAAGCGTGAGCCGCTGCTTCCGGCCTGAATTAGTTTTTTTAAGACGAAAGCTAGGGACCCCTATGTCCCCTTTGCGTGATGCTTCCACGAAGCTCTTGAACCTCTGAGCCGAAGGGCAGGCACCCAAAATGCAGAGAGAAGATTTTTTCCTGTACCTCAGGGTGTCGGGCAGCTTAAGCTCATCTGATCGCGTTGTTTCTGTGTGATAATGAGACTCGATATTATAGAGGCATGGGTGTTTTGGGTCCATTTTCTTTACATTCTTTCTTCTATCCTAGTGAAATACTCTGGATACCTGGAACACATGGACAGACCCTTCGATTCTAATTACTTTAGGAAAACTCCTCGGCTAATGAAACTTGGAGAGGGTAAATTCAGAGTGGGAGCTGGAGAAGAAGGGATTGTTTAGGGGCGAGATGAAGCAGCATACCTCAGGCTATTAAGACTGCTCAAAGCGCGGATTCTTTGAGTTGGCTTTGCTGAGGCTGGGTTTTGGTAAAACAGCCATGTTCTCTCCCCTTGAGACCTGGGCATTTGGGAGATGGCTTAACCGGCAAGGTATCTTTGCACTCTGACTTAACTAACCACTGGGAATGTTTCTGTGTTCATTTATTAAGTAAAAATCGATCGAATGCTTGCTTCTCACAATACATGGTGAAAAGAGAGGATGTACTCAGAAGATTAGAACATCTCCACCATTAAGGACCTCACAATGTAGTGGAGGAGACTGACCTGCATTCAGCTCACTTGGTAGAATCGGATGAGTGCCTGGGAGTTGAAAGCAGTGTTGTGGGTGTGCTTAATGAAGGCATGATTAATTCTAGCTGGGAGGTTCAAGGAAGGCTTCCTGGAATAGGCGGCATTTGAACTGAGCCTGGAAGTTTGAATAAAATTTCTATCGGTAGAAGCTGGGCGTAGGCTCAGGAGGAAGACATTGCAGGAAGAGGGAACTGTGTGAGGGAGACATGGAGGCCAAAGTACTGCTGACTTAGAAGGGGAAGAAACTGATAGCATTGAGCAGGATACTGAGCAAGCTTCACCCACCTTTTTTGTGTCTTCTTACAGATATTAC